CCCTTCTCATCCTCGCTCCATACTCTCAAACACCCCTAGCTCTCGCATCTACGACACTTAGGCATGTATAAGACGCAACTTTTGGCGCAAACAGAGCCATCCTAGCTCTTCTGTAGCGTTCAGAAAGGCTGCACCGTAACGGCCGCCCAATCGAGAAGTTTGTCTGGGACGACTATAGTGCTCGAGAGGCCTCAAACGGGCTGGCTCAGGCGGGCTCCTCTCGCGCGGCCCGCTCGGTCAGAGTGTTGCTGCGGTAGTCTGCCCCGACGGAGGGAGCCGGCGTCCGGCAGGCTTCGGCCAAAACTCTTCCGGAGCGTTTTGCAAAGCAAGGGAACCCACATGAGCCCACCCGAGCCCGCGACGGGCTGGTGCGGGCTCATATCTGTGCGGGCGCGGGCGGGCTCATACTCAGCGCCTCACGCACCACAAGTCGGGAGCCCGTCCGAGTCAGCCCGTTTGAGGCCTCTGGCTCGATCAGCTTCGACAAAGGGCGGCTGAACGAGCCAGCTGCGGCTCCAGTGGCGGCGGCCGGGTCTGCCTTGATGAAGTTGGGTGCTCAGCTCGCCGAGGAACTTGTCGTTGACCCTCGCCATGCCGTAGGTGAGGGGGGAGGGGCGCACCGCCACCGCCCGGCACCGCAGTTGCTGCTCCTGGAGGACGAGAAACATGGGGTCGAGTCGCCGGGGACGGTGTAGAACATACACACCTCCATGATATCCCAGGAGAAGATGTCGCCGGGGTCCTTGCAGCCGGCGGTGCGCAACATGTAGCGAGCACCACTCCGACGTAGCCTCGGATCAGGGAGTCCTAGTGCGAGACGTGCTCGGCCTTCCCGGTGGTGCAAAACATCAACCACGGCAAGTCCTGGGCGGCCACCGACCACCTTGTAAGATGAGTCGGGAAGTCGTACGCCTCCACTGCGCCGGGCAGAGCGAAGCACTCCCTGGAAAAACGGCTACGCATAAACGAAAAACAAAATAGAGCCGTGTTAAGTTTTAAACAAGGGAGACGACGTAGAACACAAAAAAGTAATCTTGTGCTTACTAATAAACTCGTTTTTCAACTTAAAGTGTCGCCCTTATTTTGGCGGGATCGTCCAGACCAGAAAGTGCGTACTTCATTCGCAGTTACGAAATTGAGTCGTACAGCGCACGCAAGGTTCCATAGCGCCTGGACGGTAGGTAGCATCTTGCCTGCCGTGCATCCGTGTACTGCGGGATGGCCTACCCCAAATCTCGCAGGCGCCGAGCTCTCGTAATTTGCCGACTGAATGAGAGAAATAATACAAGGTTCACTCGCTCAGGGTTCTGGTATTGGTCGTATTGGTGTCGTGGGGTGTCGATACCTACATTAGATACTTACTGCGGAGATCTCGCCAATACACCCAAAAGAAACACCCGACACACCGTAGTTGCTCGCGATGTGCACCCAAAAAAGCGTGTTCTTGAGTGAAGTTTATGTGCTCAGCAGAACCGCGCACATTGTCTTGTCCCAATGCAAATTGCATTGCCCTAATGCAAATGATCTTGAGAAATCAGGGGTCAAGAACATGCTTTCCCTGGTTGTGCATTTAATTTCCCGGGCCACAAAGCCTCAATATCGACACGTGTTTGGGGTCCCCCGACCCCCACGACCACTTTGTGGAGAAGTTTTGGGGGTCCGCTGGACTTCCATGACCATATTGTAGACATGTTTTGGGCGTCCCCTAGGCCCTTATGAAGATAAAAATGTCAGTTTTTCCTACTTTGAGCCAAAGTTGCGACCTGAAGACGTTGTTTGACAGGAAAAACAAGGCCATACTCGTAATTAGAGTCGCCGTTTGGGCCATGATTTTGGGTCTACGTGGCCCAAGGCAGTTTTTAGCTCGGGCCAACCCGACCTGACCCAGTCTATATTCAGTAGCCCTACGCGACCCGTGTGGGCTATTCAGTCGGGTCAGTCAGACCCGCTCGGGCCAGCTGGACCCACCCGACCCGGGCTGCGGGTCTGCTGGACCTGCCTTGACCAGCCTGGCCTCAGCAGTTCACGGCACTGTTAGAAATTCCGTAGGCAAATTACGGAATTCTTACGGAATTTACCGTAAATTCCAAATACGGTACCAAACCGTAACGGGATGACTGTAATTTAAAGATACGGACTTGTCCGTATTTCAAATAACGGTGCATCCCGTACATTTTCCCCGTCAAATTAAATATTAAATAATTTTTGAAACAAATAGTTTAAACAATTGAGCTGTCCATAGAGATTTATGTTATTGCCTCTTTCGCAAAACCATAACTTTACGCTCTCGAATCTCTCAAAATCCAATTCTTCGACTTACAGTGTAATTTATTATTTTTTCTACGCAATAAGTCAAAATTTTACGGAAAATTTTACGGTTTACCTGTAACTTAAGAATACGGTATTTCCGTAAGGTTTCCGTAGAAAATACGGAAAAATTACGGTAAATTCCGTGAAAAAAATTTCTTGACAATTCCGTTAAAAATTCCGTGGAAATTTCTAACAGTGGGCTTCCCCTCACCCCGCGTCTCCCTGCCCCTCACCTACAATTTTGTAGGCAGCAGGCTTCGGTCGGATTGGTCTACTGTTCTGTTGCTCGACCCAACTGACCCATGGTGGTCCAGGCGGGCCCGTCAGACCTTACACCTCCCGCCGCTGGACCACTGGACCCGCTATTTAGTAAAATGGACATTTAACAGCACAAATAATCGGTAGAGTGAGGCTGCTGGGTCAGTCGGTCCGCCCGCGGCGTCTCTACTCGTAATCTAGGGGGAAAACCGATTCACTTTGGTGACGGGGAGGAATTTTAATGTCGAAAACGGGGTCACGACGACTCACCCTACTATCAGTGTGCAGGAGGAAAAAGTGGTCATGCGGGATGAGGGGGGGGGGATAGATAAAGAGAGGGGGCGGTGAGTGGGTGGGTAGAGAGAGAAGGGGGGGGGGGGTGAACAGATAGTGCGAGAGAGTTGGGGGGACCATCACCAATTCGGTATAAATACAAGGCCGCCGGCTGGCAACGGCTCAGTCCCAGCAGGGACAATAGTTTCCAATATTGTTGAAGATGGTAAAGCAGTTGTCGTTCGTGTGCCCGCTGGCCCTGCTGGTGCTGCTGGCGTTCCTGCACCACACTGCGGCCTACTGTAACTTTTGGGAAGAGCCGTGCAACGGCGACTACCAGCTCAACGATGGCCATGGCTATGAGGGTAGGACTGCCCAAAACAGGAACATATTGTAATTCCCGACCACCTCACTTGGATCGAGTTCAAGGAAAAAACGAGTGCTTCGTATTC